CGGCCTGGATCGGCGTTCACAGTTTTCCCGCTCCCCTTTCCTCCAGATAACCCCAAGGCAGTGACTTTCCCCGACCACCTTCGAATCTCTCTCAACAAGGGCCATGGTATCGGAGACTGGTCCTGGTATAAACTCCGACAAGACTTGATTGTCATACTCTTTGGATCTCTACCGTCTCCGAGATTCCTTTTTTAGCGACCGAATCGCCCGTCATATTCAATTGTCGTGAAGGTGGCTGTTGGGCGGTTGAAATCGACTACGATTCACAAGCATCAAGACGGGGGAAAAAAACGAAGCATGATATCAGCTCAGGCACCCTTTTCGCCCTCATTCTCCGCCCTGGATCCTATCATCATGGACGACGACATGGACTTTTTGGACCCCACACAACTCGAGATGTCAACTGAGAATGCTGGGGGAGATTTTGACGACCTATTCGCTCGAGCCACAACATCCCGTGCGAATGGCGCCTCGGGGCCTTCAAAGCCATACCAAAACCAAAATCCTCTGAGGCAAGTGCCGAGTCTTGCCGCGGACTCGCCAGCCGAATCGCCAGATGACTCGGGTCGCAGTTCTTCCTCCGAATCGCCACGGAATCATCTACGACAAACATCGGTCGCTTCGACGAACTCCGCAACGCATAGTGAAAATCCTCTAGTCTCTACTAGTTACCCGTCGGAGGATTGGATGCGCCCGGAATTATCGTCAGTCAAGGAGGAATCGCCCTTCAATATTGATCCTTCTTTTCCTATGGATGGTTTCTCCATGGATCCTGATCTGGAAGTCAGTAACAAGGCGATGGATGCAGCCTTCGATTTCGAAAGTGCAGCGAGTAGCCCTAGTCCATTGAAGACGGACAATGGCTCACTCCCGAGGCCCCAAAAGCGCGCGAAATCCCAGCTCTGGAGTCCTTCGAGCAATCACACTGGGCTGCCATCCATTGATGCCGTGCCTTCCGTAAGTCATTCGAACAATATTCTTGTTTGTCGCGTTGCTAACAATCCAGGGTCATGCTCCCGGGTCTCCGTTCTTCGCTTTTGGACTCAACGGCCAATCTCCATACTCGACCTCAATGCCTCACGATATGGATAGAGCCGCTCCGCAATGGGGCGGACAGTCTCCTTCGTCTCTTCTGGAAGAAAGCTTCGGAGGCATCAATATGAATCGCCAATCACCTCTCCACGCCTCGTTATCACCCGCCATGAACTTCGCCTCGCCCACATCATACCAATTTCCTGTCAACTTCGCCTCCTCCCCAGCCCAACCTCAAAATAATGCGCACTCTCTACAACCTATTCTCACTGTGCATCCAACTTCCCTCAAATCCCGTGTTGAGACTCAAATTCCAATCCGATTGACCCTCTCCCCGCTACCTACCGGCGTCAAGAAACTCCGTCTTCCCTCTCACACCATCTCAAAACTCAAATTCCTTGCTCCTCCTGCCACCGAGCCTACCCGCGATACCCTTCAATTGTTTACAAGTCTCGTATGCACAAGTGCCATGCAAGACAGAGAAAAGATCAAGCGGGCATTTGCACGGACAAGGGGTGATCGCTATCAAACAACTTCGGATGACGAACGTCCGTTGGACGGAGGTGATGTCAAAATCTGCAGTGGATGTATACAGCGAGAACGGAAACGTGCGTCACGGAAGAAGCAAAGGAAGCCCGAAGAAGATGAATTGTTTCAAAAAGATGAAGAGAAGCGTGTGATCGTCTTCAACACCAGCGAGATCAAGGAATGGACCGAACCCGCAAAGAATGCCAGCGGTGGCTACGGCGATAGATCGTCGGTCCCACCAGGATCAATGCAAGTGGAACTGCCAATGCGTATTGCATGCTATTGCCGACACCAAAATGAGAAGCTCGGATTCCAGGTTATCTTCACTGTGAAGGATCACTTGGACAACGTGGTGGCGCAGGCAATTACAAATTCGATTATGATAACGGACGACCACAAGACGCAGGCCCCATCTGCGCCTGCACTGACTGGCCCTTCGCCATCCCTCCCAGATGGGACGCAAGTACCGGGAGCTGGAGTGTTTCCCTCAGGTCAAACCCCCGATAACGGGCAAAATACTTTCGGTACACCTCAGTCGCCAACTGATCTACAGGGTCTTCAACAAAGGTTCAATTCGCAATATCAGCTTACGCCCAGTTCATTTGCGGCTCCGGGCTCAACGAACGGAGGGCACGTGCCTCAGGCGTCTAGAAGTTTGTCTCGAGGAGCATCTCCATCTGAATTCCAAGGACCACAAAGCAAACGACGCAAACATAGCAGCTCTGGAAGGCTTCCATCAGAACTGACTATGACACGACTCGAGACACCTCAGTCATCCGCAGCGGCCATGAACAACGCTGCGCAACTTGCGGCTGCTCGTGGGTTCGCTTCACCAACTGAACGGCCGTTTGTAAATCCGTCCGCCATGTCAGGTCAATATGGAAATGGCCCTCCCACTCCCAACCAGAACAATGATAACAATCCATTCTTCAACCCGACACCTGCTCAGCGACAAAGTTTGGATACCCTGGTCGGGGGAGCAGTGGCATCAACGCCCAACTCCACCCATCCCAGTCGTCCGGGGACACCAGGTGGCTCGAATCGCAATGGCTTCCATGATTCAAATGTTCCCATGGGTCTTGGTGCGAATACCTCAAGCCAACTTTGGCCTCCTCTCAACAATACTCTCAATCGATTGCCATCCGTGATCCACAAGTTGGTGCCAGCCGAGGGCTCTATCACAGGAGGTACTGAGGTTACATTGTTGGGCAGCGGATTTTATCCCGGCATGGAGGTTGTTTTCGGCGACACGTTGGCAACTACAACCACATTTTGGGGTGACAAGTGCCTCAACTGCCTGACCCCACCCGCTCTCCAACCGGGATTGGTGTCTGTGGTATTCAAACATGAACACCCGACATTTGGCCAAGTCCAACAGTCTCAACCCCTCATGCCCAAACAGCAGCTGTTCTTCCGCTATGTGGATGATCGTGAGCTTCAAATGTATCGCTTGGCACTGAACATTCTTGGTCAGAAATTGGGAAGCCAAGCGGATGCATTCCACACAGCCCAACAAATCATGGGAAGCGATCCAAACGCGTTCTTCAATATGCAGTCAGAAATGCAAGGTAACTCATCTGGGGGTCAGCAACGCCAAGTACCGGGCCTTGAAAACCAAGGCAAGCTCGGCGATCTCGACTCCAAGATGCTGACCTACTTGGAGTTCATCGACTTGGATGACAGTCCCCGGCCACCGCGGTATAACGCTCGTAGCACGACCGGCCAAAGCCTTCTTCACTTCGCAGCATCGTTAGGACTGACAAGATTTGTGGCGGGTCTTTTGGCTCGAGGTGCAAATCCCGATGTGCAAGACAACACAGGCAATGCGCCAATGCATCTGGCCGCACTCAATGGCCATGCCCACATCGTCCACCGATTGCGTCTGACGGGTGCCAACCCCAACACTCGCAGCGTACGGGGCTTCACTGCCGCGGACCTAGCGACCACGCTTCCCGCGCACCAAGCCGCATTGCTTCCATCTCGTCACTACCGGTCCCGCAGCGTTGGGTCCCTCACATCGCGCCGCCGACAAAGCAGCTCAGCCTCGCTTAGCTCGATGTGGGAGGCGTCTTCCGCCTCTGGATCTCTTGATCATGCTGTTGATGACTCAGAGGATTTCGATGATGAGGAGGAAACTACTGATTCCGACTCGGAGCCTCTTCAATTCAGCTCTTCTCGTCGGTCTAGTATGCACCAAGATATTAGTCCGCCAATTATGGATAATAACGAACAAACCGTCGCATCCGGAGATGCTCAAGGCTACGCCCCACCAGCACCTCTTGTGGCGTGGCGTGACCAGCTGGCTCTTCAAATCAATCAATTCCAGCAGAGCGTGGCTAATGCCTTCCCCAATCTCCCGGCTCTCCCTCCAATGCCTCCGATGCCTGCGATACCCGCAATGCCCGCGATGCCCGCCCTCCAAGACTACCAAGGGCAAGGAATGATGCGCCGCATAACCAACCTTGTCCCTCATCGGCCTGCTGCTCGGGATGGCTGGTGGGATTACTTGAAGGGCACCTCTGCACCCAATCCCAATCAGCCACCTTCATACGATGAGCTGTTCCCGGACCCCGATGCCACCGATGAGTCCGACATGAAGAAGTCGAGTCTGCTCCGTGCCGCAACAGAGGCAGCTATCGACCAACACTTCGAGGCCCAGAGCAGTGCTGCTGCGGCGGCCGCCGCTTCGGCCTCAGCTTCAACTTCTCTCGCTCAAGTCGAGAATGACGATATCAAAGACATCACAATTGGACGCAATGTGATCTCACGTGAGCAACAAAAGCATCTCCGAGAGCAACAGGCTCGACGAATGAAGGGTCTAGGCAGCGACCGAAACCTATACTTCATCTGGGTAAGTAACCAACATGTCCACCGGCTTCTTTTCTTGAGTAGTACTCAGCTAACACCATTTCTACAGATCCCTCTTCTTATTCTCGTTATTTGCGCCTGGAGCCGAAACTACGTTCCCGGGATTTGGCAAGGTGTCACGGACTGCTTTGAATTTGCGAAAGCTCGCTATACACAGCCGGCTGTGGAAGTGGGCATTTAGGCCATCCTTTTTTTTCTTTTTTACTCTGGTCATATATTTCTATGGCGTTGTTCCTGAGCGAGTGAACCTTCCCTATTATATGACGGACTAACTGTCAGGTTTCTGTTTTTTTCTTATTTGTGTTCATAATGACGCGGCACGACTATCTATGTAGAATCCGCACGATTGAGTCTTACTGTCCTTGCTTTTATATACTTTTCCATCTTGAACCTCGTGGCCTTTGTCTCTGAGCTGTTGCAGTTACATCGAAAACTCGCCACTCAGGTATGCAGTGTTATGTCTAATGTGCAATGCATTGTGTTGCACATTCTCATATAGATTCACATCTAAATACTTCTTCGAACATCTAGTTTCTCCATATTTTGAACCCACTGTAGTGATAACACATATACTAAGCCATAACCAAGGATTTATATCTCTTGCAAAACTCCTCGACGGCTTCAACAAACGCATCGAGAGCGGTGGTAGTCATAGCGATGTTCAAGGTAATTGATCCTCGATTCTGCACCCAGAACCCTGCATTCACCAGTTCCAACCAGAACAGCTGCTTGAGATCCGTAGCCTCAACCCCAATAAAATCATCTCGACAAGTGATCTGCTCCGCGCGAACTCCCGTATTAGTGGCATGAACGCACATAAGAGAACCCCGCCCAGTAACGCAGAACTTAGATCCAGCAAAGACCCGCTGCAAGCGCTCACGCAAGTCATCGCCTTGAGTATTGAGCGATTGAACAACTTCAGCCGTATACACTTCAGAGAGTCCCGCATACCCAGCGTGCAACATCAGAGTGTTATTCTGGAATGTGCCAGAGTGCATCAAAGCCCCGGGCGTGAGAGGGTTGTAAACATCCATAATGTCTCGTCGGCCACCGAAAGCCCCGAATGGCAGACCTCCACCCAGATACTTGCCCAAAGTGATAAGATCCGGTTTAATCCCGAGCACATCTTTCAGCCCTCCCGGTGCCAGCCGAGATGTCATCACCTCATCCAGAATCATTACCGCGCCCGCTTTCTCGCTCTCCTCGCGGATTGTTCGTAGGAACTCGTCGGATGCAGAAATGTACCCGCTAGACCCCTGAATCCCCTCCAGGAGAACGGCGGCAATGTCATTGTTCTGGGAAAACGCTTCCCGGACACCCTCGGGATCATTGTATTGCAGTAGTACCCAATCAGCCTGGTCGATGTCGTTTTCCGGGATACCGTCTCCAAAGAACAGCACGCTACCATGATAGGCACCGCGGAAGACGATGACCTTACGCCGGCCGGTGAATTTCCTAGCGGCAGCAAGACAGTGTATATTCGCTTCTGTTCCGGAGTTTGTGAATCGAATCCGTTCAAGTCCAAACCTCTCACACAGCAACGAGGCATATCGCTGCTCGTAGACATTCGTCGCTCCCAGACTCAGCCCGACGTTCTGAATGGTATCTGTCAACACCTTTTGCAGCGTCGGGTGAGAGTGTCCATATAGCCCGGCGGATAACTCGCCGACGAAGTCATAATATCTGGGAAATTGGTGTTAGTCTACACATTCTAGAGGCTCAGATCGATGTATTTACTTGTTTCCATCTTCATCCCACAATTCCGAGCCTGAGCCTTTGCGCATGAACACTGGGTATGGTGCTGTGTGCAGCACAGTGCGGGTATTTCCTCCCGGTAAGCTTTCGAGTGAGAGCTTATGCAGGCGTTGCGATTCAGGGTGGCGCTCGATAAATCGAGCCACGGCGTCGTTGAGAGCTGTGTCCATATTTGGGGATTGATAGTTGTTCGGAATTCCCTAGGATGTCGGTTTATATAACTGTGATATGAGCGGAGAATATTGATGTCGGGAATTTGCCGTCTTTCAATTTATAGAAACTTTGATAAGACAAGTTGTCTACTAAATCACCAGTCTGGAGATTATAATCTCCAAGAGAGGGGTATACTAGTGAATCCCCTTATCAGAGATCGAAACAACATATACCCGGTCCCTCTTTCCCGCACACGATCGTGTCGCGCTCTTGCTATCAATTCCGCGCGGTAAAACGTGGCGAGCATCGACTATTATTATCGACTCTGGCCCTCATTCTGCTTGATCATTTTCACCTCGACTAGCATCGCTTTGAAGGCATAGTATTTTGGTACTTCTGCGCTTGATATATCCCAATGAGAATTTTAGGACAGTTGAACAGAATGGGACTTCATATCTACCAATACTTCCCTATATTATCATTACCACAGCCAACATCATCTGTTCTATTAACTCACTCATAGCTCCACGGTATATTATCCTTGTACCGCCTAGGTATCTATGTATACGGCAAGGCCCTTTGTTTACATTCCGCCCGTATTTATCTCCCCCCCCCCCCAGCTATTTACGGTCTTCCATCTATTGTTTTTCTCAAACTGTCGTGATCCACCATTTTACAAGTTATTTGATACCATTTGCCCTAGCCCAAAGACCATGGCAGACCCTGTTAGGGAGTCTATCAAGCAGGTAGATGAGAATACATGGCTTATTGGTGACCTGATCCTCCATTCTTCGAGCGGTCCTTCCGATGTCTCTTCTTGGTATGACTCGACCGATAATCTTAGCTATACTCTAACCAACGCGCCTGTCCCTCTACCTCCGACCGTTCCACTACCTACAGATAACCCGAGGATCGTCCTCGTATATGACGTTGCAGAACGTTCTTCGATAGCCAATGATGTATTTTGTTAGGTTAAGACGCTTGAAGAAGGCGCAACGTCCGAGGCTACTACGTTAGCTTTTGTCCATGGTCAGAAGCCTACTTTAAGATCCCTCGTGTTATACACGAGACTAAGGATAATACCCGGTCTTATCTCTTTATGACTCGAGTACCTGGTCGGACACTTGCAGTTGCCTGGCCTACTCTAGACGACGCTTGGAAGCATCACTATGTGGAGGAAGTGGTAAAAATATGCGAGACCCTTGTAGGCTGGGAAAGCCCTATGTTTGGTGGTGTGGACGGAAAAAACCTGACCGATCATCATCTCATAGATCGTGACATGTGCTGTAACATACTTTGCAGATGCGATCTATACATTAGTGGCGTGGAAAGTCTGTAGTGACGGTATGATACGCCTAAGTTGGCTATATTATTCTAAGTATGAAACAAGATACAAATAGTTATTGAGAAGAGCATCAATTTCACGATCTGAAACAAGATGGATATATTTTGTCGCCTCCGTATTTATCGCTCGCCGTAAAGGGCCCACGCAGCTCAATATTGAGATTCTCTGCAGATCCTACGAAGAATAAGAAAGGATCGCCCCTTTCTGGAGAAAATCACATCTCTCGCAACATCAACACTCGTTCAAAGGCGTTTCCCCTTTTGCTTGGGGATAAGCGGGCCATGTCAACCTCTTCCAACATTCTGCAAATTCTCTTTCTCTATGCCGCCCATTGCCTTATACCCGTGGCCCTCCTAATCGCAACACCAAAGCAGTCTGCTCTTCGGTATCTGTCGATTCCATGCTCTATCTTCATTGTATATCGAGCTATACCGGTGGCCACAGCGCTAGGTCCGGGATTTGTATGGTGTGAACTCGCTCGCCTATTTGTGACCATCATCTTCCAATGCCTGAACCTGCTACTCATCAACCCCAAAGATAGCAATGATTTGTCTTCTGGAGCTGGCCAGGGCTTTGTGGCTCAAATTTACGCCGCAGCTCGGCTCTTCACTGATCCTCGTGGGATCAACACGCCCTGGCAAATAAAAAATGCCCCACCACAGCCAGCGTATTATAAACGACGTGGTATGAACACGCCTCCTCGGGGTTGCTTTTTGGTTCGCCAGATAGCCATTGCTGTTTGGCAATATCTAGCTCTGGATGTCTTTGCTACTCTTGCGTTGCAACAGGCATTGGAGCAAGAGAAAAGTGGAATGTTGCCGCCAGTCCCTCAGTGGGATATAACAACCGAACAATGGATTGAACGCATCATCTCAAACCTCACGGCTGGATTTGTGGTTAGCCGGATTCTTATCGACTTCCACCATCGTGTTTTTTCGATTATTGCCGTAGGACTTGGACTCGATTCGCCTGCGAATTGCCCTCCGTTGTTCGGAAGAGCGCTGGATGCCGATACAGTACGGGGCTTCTGGGGGTAAGCTCATTCACATCGAGTTATATAAAGATAAGGGATATTATACTCACATCGATATTGTAGGAAATTCTGGCACCAATTGTTGCAAAATCCCCTGACATCTGTCAGCGCCTTCATCACTCGGGACATATTAGGTCTTACCCGAAGGTCGTTGATAGCACGGTATATGAATGTTTTGATTGTTTTCTCCTGTTCGGGCGGCCTGCATCTCGTCCTTGATATTGTCCAAGGAATCCCAGCGCAGGAATCCGGCGCCATGTTATTCTTCATCACGGCCCCTCTAGGTCTCATGATCGAAGATAGCGTCAAAGCACTTTGGAAATCTTTTTGTGGACCAAGTCAAAAAATCCCTAAACCGCTGTGGCAAAGGGCTCTTGGCCTAACGTGGTCTATGGCATGGCTGGGTGTCACATCAACTGGGTTCTTTTATCCACAGATGCTGAGGCCACAAAACCAAGCTCTGGTTCCTTTTTCTGTGGCAGATCGTATTGGACTGCCTATACAGGCAGGGATTCTTTTGGTTGGTGGTGCCGTGCTAGCGAAGGTGTTTGAGGTTGAAGTGTGAGGTCGTGTATAGATCCGGGGCCATGGTGGTACGGAGTTTTCTGTTGGATATATGTCACATATAGTACAATATATAGATTCCTATATTTTGTGCATACCTAGAGTTATATATGTCTCTAAATTAAATAAAATATTAAAACAATAAAAAGCCCAGTTGTGATCCAAATCTAAAAGCAGCACTGAAATGGCGCACTAAAATGGAAAAGAACGAGGCCGTGCGTGGCCGCTGTTGACAGCATGTCTCCCTCACCCCGCGACTTTCCCCTTAACTCCAGACGCATGAAATCTCCCATGCACCTTGGATATTGAGATGTCCTGAAGTCAATTGGCCACTTCCCGTATCGCGCCCGGGAAATCATGGACCCTTCGCAGGCTTCGAGCAATGTAACGGGTACGACCAAGGTGCTTGAGACGAATGAAGCTTGCGCTTGCGCTGACCGTACAATACAGTCGAATACACAGATCCGTCGGGCTTGTTCCCGCTCATTCAGCCCGTGATCGAAGCAAAGCTCCCCCTAAAAAACCTCCACTGGAAATCGCCCACCCGCCCCGTGCGGTCAATCGAGTCGCTCCGCATCGGCTTCGTACCTGCGCAAGAATCAAACGAGCGCGAATCATCGAGCGACACTGTCCATGGCACAGTTGCCCATCGCAGACACCAGATCCCCGGTCTACGGCAGACACCATACCTGAAAGTTTACCTCCTCCGATGCGACGACAACGAAACCTACAAGGCGACAGCCCGACGGAACCTTCGCGAATGGATCAAGGCCAACGCATCTTCCCAGAGCTCGCAGCCCGCAACTACTAGTCAGGAAAAGCACGATGCGTTCGAGTGGCTTATCCTGCACGTGGAACCGGACGGTGATGCCGCGGACAGGGCGGCCACTACCTCCAAATGGGGCCGTGGATCAACTACAGTGCTGGAAAAGGCGAAGGCTGATTTCAATGGGTCGTCCAAGTCTGCCGTGGACCGTGTGGCCCAACTGCGTCTTCCGAAGCCGGGGACCAAATCCCCTGAATTAGCCGAGCAGTTGGAGGATTTGATTGATAAAATGAAGAACGGGATTCTAGCTTCGTTTGATCTGCGTGTGGCGCAGTATGAGGAGGATATAAAGGAGAAAGACTCTCAGCGCAGTTTGCCTGGCTGGAACTTCTGCACGTTCTTCATCCTTAAGGAAGGTCTGGCTAGGGGGTTCGAGAATGTGGGCCTGTTTGAAGATGCGTTGGCAGGATACGATGAGCTAGCTGTTGGCTTGGATGCGGCTATTCGAGACCAGCTCGATGGGAGTAATGATCAACACAGTGGCGCACTCTCGGTCACCAGTAAAAGCTGGACCGAGAGGGCCAAAAAAGCGTTAGAGACCGAAGCTTCCGATGACAGCGACGGCGTTGAAGATGAAGCGGCTCTCTTTTCAGAGCTTCAACCGGGGGATTTCCCATTTAACGCCAACAAGATGTCATACCGAGAAATGATTTTGGCCAGCGATATCTCAATCTTCGATTTCCGTACATACATCTTCTCTCGTCAACTGACTCTACTACTCCGAGCCGCGAGAGCTCCATCACTGGCCGGCAGCGAACCTGCGGCAGGGGGTAACGCGGCGAAATCAGGCAAGAAGCCCGAAAATCTTATTCTGCTAGCTGAGATTTGCGCAAGAGCAACGGAATTGATCAGTTTAGCTGCACGTACCCTCCGCTATGATCTCGAATGCGGTCTGGCGGAGGTAGTTCATGATGACAAGGCAGATATTATCAACAATCTAGTCTCCACGTGGGCATTCTCGGCAGCTTTCCAGATCCTGAGTCAAACCTCTACTCCGACCCTCATGCTCCCCGAATCCTCCCTGCATGCCGTTACGCAATCGACCGAAGCCGCTGCTGCCACGGTGGCAGATTCCCGTACCAATGTGCCTCGCCGCTCTAGTTCCCTCATAGGATCACCTGGTGCCCAACCTGGCCGGCCAGTGACCCAGGATATCTCCGATAGTGTGGGTTTGCTTCAGCGGCGGTCGACTATGGAACACCCCAAGACCGCGCCTATTCTCACACTGAAGACTGGTTCTGAACAGCTCTCATCCGGGAGGGCGGAATTGCTTCTTCTGGCTCGGCGATCTCTCGAGGAGATTGCTCGCAGACGGGGCTGGTCTGAAAACTGGAACAACCTCGGTCTTCTCTTTGATGATCGCTATCGTTCTGGGGCAAGTGAACTCGCGGAGATTTCGTTGGATGGCGATGACACTGAAGAGTCACAGACCCCCAAGAAGAAGGAATCGTCGCTTGCGGGCATTCATCTTTCTGGCCTCAAGGCCGCATTAAAGTCGCAAGACGCCTTCCTGTTTCTCTATGAAGAGCTCACAGACCGTTTGATCCGCCATCATATGGCAGCCAACCGTGTCAACTCCGTCGAACAGGCCCTGGCTGAAATCGCTATCATACGATACCGCCGGAAAGACTACGAGTCTGCTGCTTCCTATTTCCATCGGATGGCTCCCTTCTACGGCTCTAAGTACTGGATTATTCTGGAAGGAAGCATGTTAGAACTCCACGCGCGGTGCTTGAAGGAGCTCAAACGGAACGAGGACTATGTCCGGATGATGATACGGTTGCTTTCTAAATTTGCTACATATGCGCAGGCGCAATTGTCAGTCAGGCAAAAGTCCGTGGCTGGCACGATTCCATCTACTGAACAAGAGATGTTAGAAGGACATGTCCATGATTTGTTTGAAGCGTCTGGTGCTCTTCAAAAGGATATCCCTGCTTCCTTGACGGACTTCTTTGGCGAACTCCGTGTCGACCCAGCTATTCGACTGTACGACGACAAGGATGGATTCCAGATCCAACTGTCTTTGCGATTCCTCTTGGGTCAGCAGATCGAGATTGACAATCTCAAGGTTCGGCTGGTCAGCGCTAACAGCTCTCAGAATTCTGAGCATTGGATCGAGAGCTCAGCCAAGTTCGTGGTGAAATCATCAACAACACAGCTTTTGATTGACTGCTCGGTAAGCACTCGTAGGATAACTTTCGCTACAAGTAACTAACTTTTACGCAGACTACACTTCAAGGCAAGTATTTCATTGACCGTCTCGAGATGAGGGCTGGCAATCTTGTCTTTAACTTCAACGGCGGGCAAGACTCCACCCTTCCAGTTGGCTTCCGAGAAACGGAAGATTCGGAGGAAACCGACAACCAGCCTTATATCTATTGTTACCCTCCGGCCGAAGCCCTACGGGCGAAGATCGTGTCACCGCATATCATTAACCTCCAGGCCATGCGGACGTTGGAGCTGGAACTCCACAGCGGACGCAACGATATCAAGAGTGGCACGATCCGTGTCCGGCCGGGTACTGCAGGCCTACGGCTTCGCCTTGCAGAGACGGAGGTTGTGGAGGGCACGCTCGAGGTGGATGCCAACCACGAGTCGGGCATTATCGAATTCGCGGAATTTCCCGCGCAGTCATTCGTTCGACTGCGTATCCCCTACACTGTGGAGGAGGCGTTTTCGACCCTCTCCGCGCGAGCAGAGATTGGTTATGAGACCGAGCAAGGCCGATTCGCTTCCTCGGCGTCATTTAATGTCGTTTCCACGCTACCTATATCGGTCAACGTGCAGGACATTTTCAAGGACGAAATACTATTCTCACGCTTCACCATTAGCCCGGCCATGCTGATCCCGCTTCGTATCATGAACTGCAGTCTACCTAGCTCAGACATTTACGATGTGGAAAGCAGCATCACCGGCCCCGTTGCCCTTGATGTCTTCCCCAAGCAGCCCGCGTCTCTTCTTTACAAAATCCGCCATAATGAAGGCAACACAATCGCATCAACACCGCGTAGCCTACAACTGAGCGTTGACTTCACATGTATCGACGATGAGTGTCTCGACGCAGTCGAAAAGCAATTCTCAGCTTCTATCAACTCCAGTCCATTCTGCCAGTACGCATCGCTGCTTACATCGCACATTGTCAGCAGTTTCCGCGCACAGCTGTCCACGAATGACATGGAAGCCATTGGGCTGATTAGGGAGGTAAACATGCTGCCCTATCAGACTGTGCGATGGGACGATCTGCTTGGAGCTTTGAAATCACCCGGCGAGGATGTGCGACAGTGGCTCAAGGAATGGCACAAGGTAAGAACCAACCCGAGTGTTTCGAGCGAGGTTACTCACATATGAAACAGAATAACTCCACCATCCAGCTCCCCGCACAACCCACGATCCCGACTCGCCGCATCATCATCCCCGTCGACGTCCCCGAGATCCCAGTCGTGCACACAGCCGACCTCCAGCTCCAGCCCAAAGCCACCACCGATCCGGGGCCCTCCGCCCACGCCGCCGTCGGCCAGATGATCACCGCCGAGCTATGTCTCCGCCACACGCGCCGCTGGTGTTCCCCCGCGACCCGCGGGAACGCCGACCAACCCCTCGAATGCTCCTACGAGGTGCACGGCAATCCAGACTTGTGGCAAATAGGTGGCCGGCGGCGGGGCAATTTCCTCGCGCGTGACGGCGAAACCAAACGCTTCACGGTTCTACTCCTCCCTCAGAAACCAGGCCATCTCCTTCTCCCGGCTATTGAGATCCGTACGTTCCTGCCATCCGCTCCGCAGCTCCCGACAGCGGCCGATCCGGCTGGTTCCATGGCGCCGGCTCGTCGCTCGATCCCTTGTGAGATTGACTACCGTAACCATAGTGAGACGGTTCTTGTACTCCCAGATTTGAAGAAGACGACCGTGAGTCTTAGTGCCGCTGGCGGTAATCACGCTGCTGGTGGGGGATCTTGGCTTGTGGATTCGGAGCGACGGACGGAGGAGGTTCGTTAGGTCTGTGCGGGGTATGTGGGTAACTATATGTATAATGAGTCGTATATGAGCTAGCTGAGGTACTTGTTTGTATTTAGATCTACGATTCATGAATCCATTATTCTTCTGGGAAATCTTCAATCGTACTCCGTACTCCATTGCTATCCTCGGTAATATATTCTAGTGGCTTGCTTCCGTTGGCCCTTGACCCGATACAGACTAGTGTGGCCTAATCTGGATTAGCCTAATCTCTAGCTGAACTCGATGTTCTTTTAGGTCGCTTCTACGGGGTTGCAGGCCCATTTATGGCTTCTTGTACCCTCTTGAGTAAGCTGGATACCGATTGAAGAGTTAGTTTTTGATAAACTATAGAAATAACTCATACAGAAGAAAGGCCGTCACTTCTGGAATATACAAAAGTCCGAGATCGGCGCCTCGGTCCCCGCCCGATCAGATCTTATCTAAGGTGGCAAGGTGGTGTCCACGGGTGATGGCCCCAGGGGCTAAAGAATTAAACATCGGAAAGTAAAAATTAACGTTTGCGTATTTTTCAAAAAGGGGGAGTGGGGCCCCAACAAAACCCGAAGGGTCCCAACAAGAGGCGATTTGTATATAACGGAGTATGTATCGAGGGTATCGAGGGCGTATTTTGCACTCTACTTTAACGTGGATATGCTTATTTGTAGACACAGTATTTATAGATTTATGATTTATAGCTAGCTTCTTGAGATTAGTATTCTATTCTTCCTTCCAGACTGGATTGATCTGAACAGAACAGAACAGATAATAGCCCATCGCCGGATTATACCCGGACACCCGAAAACCCAAAGTGGATCACATGTCCCTTGCGCATGCCACTGCCGAGTCCATCTCCAGCTCTGATGGGGGCTTACTCCGTACATGCGGGCTTACGGAGCACAGAAGAGACAGTCACTCATGTCTGTCCTATATTGTAGGGGGTTCAGGGGCTGGATATTGCATTTCAATAGTTGCAAAAAGCAAAACCAATTGCTACCCCATACGGAGTACTTCGTACAATATACTCCGTATGTGATAGTGCATCTCGGATTCGGTGGGAGCTCGGATTCGATGGGAGGTTCCTAAACCAATGTACAGCAAACCCCTAGCAAACCCCCAGCAAACACCGAGGCACGTTGGTCCGATCTGCCCACATATAGTTGGGGATTTCAACGTATTGCCGGCATGTGAAAGAGGTACAATCACCGGGGAAGTCTAGATCACATCAGCGAATAACGAAAGCGTTGGGGCGAACGGGATCTGGTGGAAAGGCGGTGGCTATGAAGAACACACAGAGTAGAAAGCGCATCGAAGTAAGAAGATGGAGTACAACATACATACATACATAGTAATGGAATCGGCATGTGAATAGACAGACAAGACAAGATCAGCCCTATTCTTACTCTTCTGGCCAGTTCGCGTTAAAACTCAGCTGTCGAGGGCGAAGGGAGTGGAGATGGGGTGTATTTTTCAAAACGCAATACGGTTGGATTGGCCTTCCACAGAGAGTGGCGGTATGCAAATTACCTCCCCACGGTTCCATGCGCTTTTATTTTTTTCGATTTCTCCCCTTCGCTTTTTCTGTTTCTCTTTGAAAGAGAGAGCTATCCCTTCTCTTCTCCCGTGTCTTTCTTTTCTTCCCTGCTAGTCAATTGCCTGCTTTCTCGTTGGCTCTCTTTCAAAACGGGGCACTTGCTTGGATCTGCTTCAACCTCTGTCCCTAGTGCGACTACACTCCCCCAAACTCAAAATATCGTGAGTAAACCCCAGGCCCTCAACTTGACGAATCTCAACTAATCCAATCTCAGATCCCTTGTCTTGAAACCCCGGTCCTTTGTTTCATTTCAGTAGGGACACATTGGGAGTATACCCATCGTGACTTCGGAGTTGAACACTGTCAACCTCATCCAACATGTCGTCGACCGCAATCCCCAAGCGCGTTGCGCTCAATCGCAACCCCGCTACAGAGTCCTCAACAACCAGCTCTGTTTCGGCCTCGCCCTTTGACAGCCCTCGCCAGTCCCCCTCCTCTACCTCCCTTTCTTCCATGGCTTCGGAGCAGGAGGTCAGCAAGATGATCGATACCTACGGTAACGAGTTCAAGATCCCAGACTACACCATCAAGCAGATCCGCGATGCCATTCCCGCTCACTGCTTCCACCGCTCCGCCGCCACAAGTTTGTACTATGTCTTCCGGGATCTGGCCATCCTTGCCTCCGTCTTTTATCTCTTCCACAACTATGTCACCCCCGAGACGGTCCCCTTCATGCCAGCCCGCGTGGCCCTCTGGACCTTGTACACCATCGTACAGGGTCTTTTCGGCACCGGCGTCTGGGTTCTGGCTCACGAGTGCGGTCACCAGGCCTTCTCTCCCTCCAAGGTTCTGAACGACACTGTTGGCTGGATCTGCCACTCCCTCCTGCTTGTGCCCTACTTTTCCTGGAAGATCTCCCACGGCAAGCACCACAAGGCCACTGGTAACCTGGCTCGCGACATGGTCTTCGTGCCCAAGACCCGTGAGCAGTACGCTACCCGCGTCGGCAAGACCCTGCACGAGCTCGGTGAGCTTTGCGAGGAGACTCCCATCTTGACTGCCGCCAACCTTCTGGCCCAGCAGCTCTTCGGCTGGCCTCTGTACCTGCTCAACAACGTTACCGGCCACAACAACCACGCCCGCCAGCCCGAGGGCCGCGGTGTGGGCAAGTACAACGGCTGGGGCGGCGGTGTCAACCACTTCAGCCCCTCCAGCCCTCTGTACGAGGCCAAGGACGCCAAGCTGATTGTCCTGAGTGACTTGGGTCTTGTCCTTACGGGCACTGCCTTGTACTTCATCGGCTCCAAGTTCGGCTGGTTGAACCTGTTGGTCTGGTACGGTCTCCCGTACTTGTGGGTGAACCACTGGCTCGGTAAGTTTCAAATCTCGGTTCTCTCGGATCCCTTTTGCTAACAATATTTTCAGTTGCCATTACATTCCTTCAGCACACCGACCCCACTCTCCCTCACTACCAGCCTGAAGTGTGGAACTTCGCCCGCGGCGCTGCCGCTACCATCGACCGCGACTTCGGCTTCGTCGGCCGCCACATCTTCCACGGTATCATCGAGACCCACGTGCTGCACCACTATGTCAGCAACATCCCCTTCTACAACGCCGACGAGGCCAGCGATGCCATCAAGGGCGTCATGGGCGACCACTACCGCACTGAGGCTCACACCGGCTGGACTGGTTTCTTCAAGGCCATGTGGACCGCCGCCCGTGTCTGCCACTGGGTTGAGCCCACCGAGGGTGCCGTTGGCGAGAGCAAGGGTGTCATGTTCTACCGTAACAGCAACGGCATCGGCATTCCTCCTTCCAAGATGGTGGCCAAGGCTCAATAGATGTTGCCTTGATGCCTTGAATGCCTTTTGTTCGGTTCTGATGATGTTTCTTTTTCTCCCCTCTTGCATTGTTCTGACTTGATTTGAGCTTTGTTTTATTTGTATACTGTGTATACTTTCGGATGGATATACACAAGGTCAATACGATTTTTTTCTTGAGAAGTTGGGCGGAAGTCATAAGTCAAATTTGATGCTTTTCTTTTTTTCTCTTTTTGAGACGCTCATGATTCTTCTCTTGTGATTGTCGTTGTGGTCTCGGGTCTTCACATTATATCTCTTTGCCTTTGATCCTTAGATCCATTATCTTGTTTCTGCGGTGAGGGTTTGAGCATGTCGGAGGATGTTGGGGGGGAGACGAAAGGAACCTGAAAAGGGGAGAAAGAGATGTGTTAATTTAGAGAGACGTCCATATATATGATTGTGGTTAATTTGAAGCGTTTTCATCCTTTTTCACTTTCTTCTTTGCATACAAAAAGACTAGAGCCAATGGTCAAGTGGTATGATTCATGAGAATTAGAAGGTCATCTACAGCGATATTCCACCTTGATATTTTAACTCTCTCTTCTTTGCTCGGTATATTCTAGATACATATTCGGCATCTCCGAATTAAACTAAGAGAAGTTTAGCAAAATAGAAGTTATGGTAGGACAGTTGATTGGTAGATATTTCGAGCCGGCAACAGGATTCAACCCGTGCCACTCGGCCAAACCGCCGTACTACAGAGGTGTACTGCTTATTCCAATACGAGGACATACCAACATAGTATATCAAACTAGTATCTGGAGTAAATTACAGTCGAGCCTTTCCAAGACGCACTGGAGCTTTGGGCTTTGGGCACGAATGGAGTCGTTTATAGTATATGCATCATTCACCACGACACGTACTTCTCACGCCACCTTTCCAGATTTCAAACTCTACCTCGCCATTTCTTCTATTCGGTTGGCCCTTTCTCGGTGTATCCTTCGGCCCTGCCGTCCATGGTGAGAACACAAGTTTCATAGTCCTCCGTGTGGTGGATTCAGAGCCTGGGTTGGGCTGGTAGTTCTGCGAATTAGAGATTTGGTTCTTGCGATAGGGAGCAGGCATTGCTAATGAGTCCGGGTCTCGAGAGGTGTTGCCATTGACTCCATCTTGGAATTGAGATTCCTGTGTGGATGCATCGTCACCCATAGAAACGCCTACAGTGAAAGACTCTTCCTTTTTCAGTGCGATTCGACAGGCGATCTGCGTTGACCAGACGAGTCCTAGGGCTGGATTCTTCAGTGGTCCAGTCTCCGGGTATGCGCCATCTCCCCAGCCAGAGTGGAAGCGCTCCTGGTGAGCGACGTTCAACAAGCTACTGTGTGCTCGAGGAGCAATCAGGTACGAGCCGTCGAAGTATTTATCATGTGGTGCGTGATATGGCGATGAGGAAATAGCAGGGGTAGAGGATGGCGGCTGCTGGCTATTTCCAGTAGCTAGCTGTTCAGTGCGAGACTTCGGGAAGGGGGAGGCAGGGCCGGATCCACGTCCTGCCGTTTGACTTGGTATGGATGGAAACCCTGCGCGTGGGGTTGACTGGCTGCTTTTTATAGGCTCGAAACGGTCGTAGACTTGGTTCGAGAGCACGATAGCGACGTCTTCCTTTACGGCGAGATTGCGCAGTAGATGGCCTAGTTTTGCGAGCTCGGTTGATCGCTTGGCGAGGGCTTGCATGCTGTTCGATTCGTGTTCAGCGCGGTAATTGGATGTTATTGAATCGATGATGACTAGGCCGATGTCATAACGTTCGATCGCGACGGGAAGTTGGAAATTCAAGATATGATCTTGCATCTCCAGGTCCATGGCGTTGACGGACAGTATATTCTGTAGCGAGGGCGCCTGCTCGGCCGGGAGTGCTGAGAGGACAGGATGGCATTCTAGGAGCTGTGAAAGTCGGGGCGTAGATAATGGATGTTCTGTCGATATGTACATGGCACGCCGTCGTAGCCCCTGTGGTTTGGGTAGCTGGACGGCTAGACATAGGCTGAGAAGGAACTGGGTCTTGCCGCTTCCACTGGACATCGATCCACATGTCAGATTGACCTGCCTGTCCTTATAAGACATGGATGAGCACCTGCAACATACCTCTCGCCTGTAATTTCTGTGACATACCCCGTTGGAATCCCGCCTCCTAGCAGTGCATCCATCGTGGGGTCAAGGGTGCTTATAGTGTTCCATTGCAACGCGCGTTTCGTCGAGGAGCTGAGTGTCCTCGCCGCATCAGGGTTTATACTAGAGCTAGGCTCATCGCTGGTCCCTGTGTTTGTATGTGGCTTTTCAAAGCCAATATCGGTATGCAATGCCTCGACAATAGAGGAGGAGAGCCGGCGAACATCTGCGGGAGGTACACGGGCACGTTTCGCGATCTCGAGTGAGTCAAGAGTGATGACGTCGACGGTGGTGACTTTAGCTCGCTCCAGGGGAGGTAGGATATGTGCGAAGTGCTTTGTTTCAAATCCAGGTAAGACTAATAGAAGATCCATAGGAAGCGCAGCCGATATGGGAGTTGATGTTGCGACTCTAGACTGTTAAGGCCTAAGCCAATCACAGCGGGGAATAATAATATTCTACCATTGGTCGATTCGAACCTTCGACGTGGATACTATATACCACGTGACTTCCTAAAAGCGTAGGACCAATTATATGTCATCATAAAGACCCACACCCGTATAACCTCAAAAAGGACCTGTAAAAGAAAAAAAAATAGGTAGCTTCTCTTTGATTGAGCGTGTCATCCTTAGTGCAGGGGCCATGCTAATCTTCTCTGTATATTTTCATTTGACCATATGCCCCGAAGGGCGAAGGGACATCCTTAAAGTTCAATATAACCTCACTTTTCGGCAGAATTATACCGCCTGTTGTATGGGCGGACTATGCTGGAGGACTTTTCATGTTGGTGTTAAGAAGTTTTCAGGAGTTGTGATCTAGGGATTGAATGTTGTTGTGTTGGAAAGTCAAGAATAGATCCAACTTGTGAAACAGTCCACTGAACATCGTATATGTTAAGGACCTTGCGATTGTTAACACACAGTTTGTTTTTGCTTGACTACTTCAAGATGACAGTTGGGTTAATCTATGGAATATTGTCTCTTTTTGACCCTACTAGCTTTGAATAGGGGCGAGGTAAACTAGGCCTCACAAGGAAAACCAAAGACAGAGAGCAGAAGAACCCATAGTTCTCTAAAATAGCAGGCATAACGCTAGTTATGCTAGATAGAGCCTCAGAGCTTTAAGGCAACAAGGCAAACGAGGCCTACATGGATGCTCAACAGCAAGAAAAGGCACATGCAGTAAGATTATTTTTAGGCATACAAAGCAATGCCTTGATTGTAATAGTCCTTGAGGCTTAGCAGAGGTTCGAATGATATCACTCCAACGGACTCATCCCCATACCTAAAGTAGAACTAGTAGTTGTTGTTCATTTCCGCCTCAATATTCTGATGTCAGCCTCAAAGTTCAAACTAACCCCGTACATATGTAAGGTTTCCCAGCTGATCGCCCCCGAGTATGGAGAACTACAGAATGAGTCAAGAGAGATCTTATGGATGAACTGGATCGCCGAGATTACTTTATTATTTATACACAAAACATATACGCTTCATCAAAGTTCCCTCTTGTTACCTAGTTAACCAGCCATGACAGCTGAACTGCTACAATATATATAAAATGCAGAATACAAGCTGGTACCTTTGGTGTTCTGCATTAGGCAGGTGGATAAAATGTGGCTTCGGGGAAGTCGGGCCATGAGAGACTAGTACTGCATCAGCTCTAAATAGTCGATCAAAATCCCATCGGCCCACTCGCCAGTAACTACGGAGTATGTTGTAAGTGACAATCAAAACTTAGTTATTCCAAGATATTCCAAGCGATAGTGTAAGTCTAGTATATCATCTAGACCCGGCATATCTCCTTGTGGAGCTGAGGATCGTCCACTCCATACGTATTTTGCAAGTGATGCGCTCTTGGATCTATTTTATTCCTTATGTTTCTTACTCCGTAGTCCATACGTACTGTTGTACATACATACACACTCGGTCCAAGCTTTGTCAAAGCTTCAACCCCACTAAGATATGTTGCAGGGGTTGGGAATCCATAGCTCAATGCGAACAGTCACCCACTGGGCAATAATCTATGATAGACGATAGTTTCTAATGGGGTAGTTCTAAGAGAATATGACTTTACGGGGTACTCCGTTTGGAGTACTTTGTACGCAATTGATACAACCGCCTTATCCACCTCCGATCCTTGAATGATTTCAGCCGTTAGTGTGGCTTCCCCCAGCCCCCCGAAGATCATAGGTAACATTGCCATAATTTCGCGCTTCGATATTCTAGAAGGATACACTATTGCGAAAACTTCGTTAGCGCTTGGCATGCTCTTTCTCGGCAGTTGTTCTATACATATTATATTTTATCCTATGTCTGTGAAGAGCGCTGTTACAGATACCGCAGAGAAATAATGGGCTATGTGGACAAGTGCAATGATTCTAGTATATGATGTAATGACATTTATCTGTATCGGTAAGAGTCTTTCTCGCATGCATATAGATATATGCAAGTGCTCCCCTTTAAACGAATCATGCTACTCTATACCTCGTACTCCATACTCCGTGCATAAACTCGTAATCTGTCTCGGCTCGGAGCGCCTGTCAAAGCGGCTGTGATAATGGTAGCATTCTGGACTTGTCTCTGCGTTTGGACTATTGTCTTGGTCGGGACGGCACCTGGGCAGGAGGGCTCCATCATATCAATGCCTGTCATTCGGCACGGATGCATCGGCCCCAATGGGTTTCAAAATACAAGGGCGATCTGCAATTGAATATACTAGTACATCATTACGGAGTACTTCGTACGAGGACTCCATAGTTATCAAGAATCTATTTCGGAATAACCATGTATCATACTCCGTACATTACAACAAGGATAAGTGCATATCAAAAGAGCCGTTAGAACTGGCCCGGTCTGGAATTCCTAGATCCTGTACCACGTAATGAACTAAATCTGCAGGCCCCCAAATGCAGTACGAAGGAGCTTTCTCAATTTTGGGTTTATGAGTTGGGATGAATCACCGAACAGGTCTACATACAATGTGGCAGACCAGGGAGGGGTGATGGTACGATATTAGGTTCAAACTGACAGGGAATCCGATAACTGTTGACGGAATAATACCGAGGAATAACTCCTCGATTGAGCTGACGTGACTTTCAACATTTGCCTAGGTGGGACATTGTGCTTCGTATGTGTACTCCGTACTCCGTACTTTGGACATTCTGGAGACCATTCCCAAGACCATTCTCCATAAATCTGTAAATCGTGCCTTGCAAGAGGAAATGGAAAAAAGTATGCATGATTTATCCGCCATAATAGGCAAATCAGAAGATCATCCGAGTTCCCGCAATAGACAGGGATGGCCAAGGATTCAGCGAAAACGAGGATTTGCAGATCAAAATTTTATCATAGAACTGTACGCGCATTGGATGAACAGCTGGCAGTTGGGGATTGCTGCCAGAAACCGTCTAGCTGCTCATTCGAGACATTGCTGATTGGCTTAGTGGGGTCAGCCAAGCCAGGTTGTGAGAGGGAATCGGTAGTTCGATGGAGTTCAGCTCGATTGTCCTTTGGCGATTAACAATCAATGTCTAAATTGGTCGATGTTCTCAGGGGGACTAGACCTGTAATGGGAATACGCGGTATTTGAAATCCCTCAGTGCAATCTATTCTCATCAATCAACATTGATCCTGGAACTTTTAAAACCGCCATATTTGTTTGAACAAGCTCATCCATAGAATGATGTAGACTACAATATAAGCATAGGACGTTATGGAGACCAGGGAAAATAAAGAGACTCCGATCCGTTGGACTGGGTTGCGGCCGGAACCTTGGAACGGAATATAGACGCCGGGTAACGTGGAGAGGTCGTTCCATGGAAAATAAATCGAGAAATAAATAGTTTACCAGTCATTTTGCCTTTTTTGGGATCAAATTCGATGATTATTAATTACCTGGAAGTATTATTCAAAGCCCTAAAGACACGACTCTCGTAGATTTGAATGTAACACACATATATGACATGCTTAGAGTATATATCTATTTGGTGTCTGTTTTTTCTTCCAAAATAATAGGGATTATCGAGAACAATAGAAACTAGAAAAAAAAAAAAATTAAGGGAACCACACGGGGTTTACGGGGACCACTGCGGATCGAACAGGTACTTCTGTTGATACTGAGAGGGCCCAGGGCTCGGGGTCTTGTTAGTGTCACCAATTCCCACTCTGCCCCCTCTCTTCTCCTCTACTCTTCCATCACTTGTTTATTTGAAGTGCATTTTCCCGAATTCATCGGGGACTAGTTTTTGTTCTGTTCCTGTATGTGGGGGGTTTTATCGGCTTGACTGCAACCTCGGAAGTCTTTCCAACAGCTCATGTGAGGCCAGGAACTGGGGGAGAAGAAGGCGATATCCCACCTTAAACCACCTCGTCCAAGGCCCCATTGATTACGGATTGTATGTTGCGCTCCATGGAAAAATTGACATAGGACGAACCCCCAACCATGCGATCGACATTTACTGATATTGCGACCGGCAGAATATCTAGCAACGATAATATCAATCCGCAAAAATGGCCAACAGACCACCCATCATGGCACCTCATAATGAGACGGAGCACTCAGTCACCCGGATCACGCGGGAGGGCAAACAGCTTACATACAAATTGAGCGTGATGCAACAACCAGAGCGGGCAAGAGCATGCGGCGCAGGAGCAAAGTGTCAGTATTTGCCGTTGAGCCTGATCAGGGCCGCGCGTTGACTGACCATCCTAAATAGCATCAGCCGACCGTCGCCCTGTTGACCCACCGCCTGTGGTTGAGTTACGCATCTTCGAGTCCGACCCGGCTAACGACGCACAAAAGACCGATATCACCTTCGCCTACAATGCCAATTTCTTCCTCTACGCAACCCTTGACACCGCACGTCCTATGGCCCACGGGCGGGTGGGTGGACCACAGTCGTGCCCTGTATTGACTGGTGTGCCAGTCGCCGGGGTAGCATATCTCGACCGCCCTTCACAAGCAGGCTATTTCATCTTCCCAGACCTGTCAGTGCGCCATGAGGGCCGGTACCGCTTAAGCTTCCACCTGTACGAAGAAATCAAGGACCCCAAGGATACCGACAAGGATTCCGCCTTGCCTCTTCCCAACCAAATACCTCTTTCCGCTGCAGCAAAGCCGGGCACCCCGCACGCGTTTCTTCATTTCCGTCTCGAGGTCAAGTCGGTACCCTTTACCGTTTATAGCGCTAAGAAATTCCCCGGCCTAGCGACCAGCACATCTCTGAGCCGTATCATTGCGGAGCAGGGTTGCCGTGTTCGCATTCGTCGTGATGTTCGAATGAGGCGCCGGGGCGACAAGCGAGATGAGGATTATGAATTCGGCGAGGAACGCGCAGCGGCGTATGCAAGATCGTCGGATCGTTTCGCGATACCCGACAGATACGCAGCTTCGATAGATCGCCCTAGGTCGAACAGCAATGGCAGCAATATCGAATCGCCCTACGGGTTCGTTCCTCCAGATCGACGACCATCTGCACCCGACTATGGCTTCCAGTGCCCGCAACCCTACCAAAGACCCATGCCACCTGCACCCCCTATGACACACTCTCAAACACCCTCATACCAATCACACCTTTCATTTGGCTCCACGCCTTCGCATTATCCGGCTCCTCACATGCCTCCTACACCCCCACCAGTGGTATCGCAAGGTATCTACTCCCCACAGAACGCATATGCCCAGATAAGACACCCATCCAATGCATCCGAATACGAAGGAACGCCCATTGCGTATCCGGCACCTCAAATACCCTCGGAACGAGGAGCTTACTCCATGTCAGGTATGAATTCTTATGGCATGGAGCCACCAAAAGCGACCTCATACATGGATCCCCGCATGGCTGAACCAGCTTTATACCAATACATGTCCCATATTCCGGTGTCACGTCCTCAAACACCGACCTTGGTCCAGGCCACCCCGTCTCTCAAGCCCTTACCAAATGAATATGCAAACCACATTGTTCCTTCTGTGGAAAGCACTTCACCCGGCGGTAGCGGCGGTGGGTATGACAACGTTAGGGGGAAGCGTATGGTGTACCAAACTGGGCCAACTTACGGCAAAAGGAGCCATGAAGATACTTTCGGCCTTGATGAACGATCAATGCAGAATGGCATGCGGCCTGACACCGAGCCTTATCCGGGTTATCGCGATTTCTCAGGAGAAAGTCGCGCTGCACTTATGGCGGAAATGGGCATTGAGTTGGCGTACAAGCGTGCCAACGGCAAAATGGTCATGAAAGCTCCTCCATCGAGTTAATAAGATCTAAAATGAGTTCAAAATATCTTGCCATATTGGCTGAACACGATATACTTTCCTTGGGCTTGCCTCGACGAGTCTTGAACCCGTCAATGGGTCCGATTGCATTTTTTTTGTATATAACTTATCTTCTGGTTCCTCATTGAGGCTACTCGAGCCCTAGATTTATTTATGCATTTGGACTCATCTCTTGGGGAACTGGTTTCCTCTTTCATGTTCCACTACTTTGCGAGACATTTGTTTGGCCAAAATTCGGAGTTGCATAGGAAGGGCAGCTGGCTCTTCTTACTCTCAGCGGCAATGATCATTCGCGAATTACCTCACTATATCATCAAGAGCAACGCGCCTCGTTCCTTTCATCCGATGGGATCGGAACAGGGAATGTCACTCTTATCTCACTGTAGCTGGGATTTTCTTCAACATTGCTCTTGGAACATACTCTTTCCGGACAGACAAGGGCTGGTCTCATGGGTTTTATACTTCACATCTGGTGAATCTACTCTTTATACTGGTGTTGTAGCATCTCCTTATACCTACATTTAGCATTCTGACGTTCTTTTTACTTCAATCTACGAATTGCACCAATTCATCAGAATGCATGTGCATCCATTATTTAGCAAGCGTTATCTGTCCTAACTATACATATCTCTAAGTGACATATCATATCTACATTCCTATCGAACATACACATGTCTGAGACACGCGGAATTCTACATAGCATCGAGTTCATACAGATATACATATTTGTAGTGTTTGTTTTGGGGATATGGGACATTCTTGAAGTATTGGGTACTTTGTGGATTGCGATAGATTAGGGGTAGACACAGGTACCAGGTACCACAACAAACCTCCCCCTTGGCAAGTGCGGAGTATGTAAACAAACCGGCGCATCACCTTTGCTCGAGTCTCCCGAGATCTTCATTTCGATCCTCATTTCTTACCTTTATTTCTTCCCTCTCAGCACTCGACTCCATTTCTATGCCAACTTCTGACAGACTTTTGCGACATCTTTCCAAGGGCGTGGGGAAAAAAGGATAACGCAAGCTGCAAAGGTAAGGTCCCTTCTCATAATCCAACTTAAAGGAAGCTCAAAGCCCGCATAAGACAGACCGAATCTAACCTCCCTGCGTCATTTCAGCGCCCGCGACTCCAAAATGGAAATGGAGATAGACATCGACCCAAGCCCCGCACACCAGCGCTCCTCCCGCAAGCACCTACGATCCAGCGACGACGATGACTCGGATTGGAGCTCAGATATCTCTGGACAATTCGACGATGCCGAAGAGGCGCAAGCAGATGCAGACGGCCACCGATCGCCGGCAGCGAAGCTGAGCAAACGACGTCGCTCGAACGACTGGCCGTTGCCCGAAGAAGCCGCTGATTACGGATCCCATGAGCGCCGCACCCAACGCGGTGAAAACGGGAGTCTCAACGTGAGCGCGAATGGCGCAGGCTACAAGGTTTCGCCCCGCGCTTCACCTCGTGGCTCGCTGGCTTCGCTGCGCGCTCGTCATGCCGCGGCATCTGCTTCCAGCCCGCGCCGCCCCAGAGGACGGACATCGCGATTCATTGAAGCGACTATGAGTGATAGTGTCAGCGAAAAGCCACCCAGTATCTACCTCCAGGAAAACAAACAGGCTGGCATTCAGCACCGCTCATCTGGGATTTTTCGTTTTGGGAAGGCTATTGCCTCGGCATTTAATCCCTTCGGTGGATGGGGCAGAAACTCTGAGGGATCGCCGAATAAGTCACCGCAGAAGGATGTCATCAGCCAGGCGGAGAAGGCCTATGCGGAATTAAAGAAGGCTGGCTACCAGGGAACCAATAAGGGTCATTACACTGAGGATCTTGGTGTCAACACTGCTCTCGCCGACCAGACTTGGCGGTCGATCCAGCACAAGATGGAATACAGCTCTCCAGTCAAAGACCCGTATCACCACCCAATTGAAGAAAACCGTGGTGCGCCATCACGTTCTGAGTCTTCAGCTTCCAAACGCTCCTCCCTTCAAGATCTTCGCCTGACGAAGTCATTCTTCAAATCCCCATCTGCTTCCCCGGCAGTGTATTGCGATAGAACTTCCGATGAATACGAGCCGACTGGACTGCGCAAGCAACCCTCCCGCAGGGAACTCTCGCGCCAAACCAAGCTGCTCAAGAAAGTTAGCAACCTCGAGGAGAAACTGCAACGTGCCCGGCGGGAGCTTCGTGAACTCACAGGCAACGAGGAGCGGGCCCCAGTACCTACAGCCCAAGCAAATATTCCCAATGCCGAGATGGATCCCGCATTGTTCCCAAGGAAGTTCGTCCCTGGTGCCCTTCCCTCTCTACCGTCTGAAAGGCTTCTGGATCAACAAGCCGCAGAAAACAAGGCGTCTGGATCTGAAGCGGCCAATCTGACGGCCCTGTCATCCATTGAAGACCGTGAAAATTTCTCCTTCGAAGAACCAAGATCCCCTCAAAGCCCGGCTAAAGCTCAAAGTCCAAAATGGCGCTCAAAAGGGACACAGCCGGCGTCAATGGGTAAGGACCGCTCCCGTAAACGGAAGTCTTCCATTCCTGAATCTATCGATAGTGGGAGCCCTCCTCAGCCCTGTCCGAAGAAGGGCATCGACGACCCCGATCTCGCCATGCTGATTGACTCCGGTCTACTGAGTCCATCCGGAAAACCGAAATGGCCGAAATCCGAGGCCGGCGAGAGCCCTGGATCGGCCAAGCGCAAGCAAGCCATCAACCACGCAGCCCCCTCGACCGAAACCGAAGAAAGTAATGCAGGAGGAAATACAAGTGCCACGAGCAACATCAAAAGGTCTCCCTACGTTCAACCCCGAAAAGTCCCCGGAACCACCCGCTCACCAAGTTCCAAGCCCACAACCCCTATCCGCATGAAGAAGAGTCAGCCCAGTCTGCGCCCGGTATCTTCGCCTGCCGCTGTCTCGGACGACGATTCCCGCTCCACCATCTGGTCTACGCCTCTTCCTGCTCCGCCAAGTGACTCCCACCGTGAAGCCTTCTATCACCACCCACAACGCCAGCTCAACCCTGATCGTAGCCCTCACACCCCGACGCGGTCGAAGACAAGTCCTAGTCGGAGACGATCTGGATATCCCCGTGACGATGATATTCCTCCCGTACCGCCCCTCCCTGAAGAACTTCGCTCGAGTGCTGCCAAAGTCAAAGTCAAAGTGAATAAGCCAGCCAAAAAGAGACCTGTGTCTGCCCCTGTGTTTTCTACGTCACCTTCTACTGTGGGTTCTATGATTTCTGGCCTTGAGGATTACCAATGGCCCGATGATATCTTCTAAGGGCTTTGGGTTCCATTTATTTCCTTATGAGGAATGATGCTTATGGGGTTTCTTATGTTGAGTAATTGGTCTTTATAATTGTGGGAATGTGTGTATCTCATTGGGTTTCTTTCTGGTTGATGATTCTGGCTTCTGGCACTATTGGTCGTCGTGATGTAACGAAGTAATGAATGTTTATACCCTAGTTCCTTGGTTTGTTTAATCTTTGAAAGCTGTCCTGTTCACCCCCGCCGAATACCACGAAGCTCATTTTATAATCCCCTCAATCTTGATGCAACGCAGTATCCTTAGGCAAGATTAACCAGCTCACACCAGCGGCACCTAGCAACCCAACAAGCATAGGCTGCAGGACCTGGACACCAACCTGTCCCGCGATAATTCCCGTCAAAGCGGGAAAGACCGATCCACCGATTTGACCGAGGACGAAGACGAATGCTTAATGGATTATTAGTAAACCCCCGCGAATAATGGGCAAGGCTGTTCGCTTACCGATTGCCGAAGAGCGGATCTGTGGCGAGAAGATCTTTGAGCCGACCGATATACCCTAAGCTAGATGTTAGGGTGGGATCAGGAAAATTCAGTGATAAACACTTACTGTTGCGAAGAAAGGACCAGAGAAGAATCCCAATAGACTGACTGCTACTGCCTCGGTGATGATATTCGGGACGCTGGTAAACCACCAGGATTAGTACAGACAATGCAGTATATCGGGGTTGGTAGAAATATATCATAGAGGAGTGCCAAACTCACAGCCAGAATACCAACTGCAAACCCACACATAGCAAAGCGTAAAAAAAGATCATTCGTCGCTCGCCGAGTCTATGCGTAGGCTCAGCGAGGATAAGACGTCCTAGAAAGGCGCCGCCGTAGAAGCCGGCTGGGATATAACCCATTGCTTTGACGTCGCCGTTGCGGACGTTGACAAGGTACTCGACCATCCAGCCTGATACAATCAGTTTTACAGAACACAGAACACGCAGAGAAGCAAGCAAGAGAAGACAAACCTCCAGCGGTGATAGTAGCCCCAAGAAAGAAAAAAAAGAACAAACTCAGCAGCCAAACCCCAGGGGTAGAAAGCGTATCCTTGATCTCCTTGAGCGCAGAATTCGAAGCAATTCTACCTCCTCGCTCACTCCTCAAGACAGTCGGCGTAGCCATACGATCCCGGAACGAAACACCCACAAACGCAAGATTCACCACACCCACGCCAAGCGGGAAAAGATAGAACAGATACCACTTCGAATCGACATTAGCGGACGCCACGCCCGTCGCTACGAAAGGGCCAACCAAACACCCGGCCATGTACATAGCGTGGATAAAGCCAAGCCAGCGGTGCGCGCCGCTCAGCGCCGAGACGAAGGTATTAGCGTGTGTGTCGTTGTATGCTTGACCCAAGCTGGCGAGGAAGAATGTTACCACGTACAGTGCGAATGGGGGTTCCCAGACGCGCAGAACTTGGGCTAGGACTTGGATGGTGGCGCCTAGGCTCAGAATTGGGCCTAGGTCTAGGTATTGGGTTATTTTGCCGTTGCTTAGGGCAGCGACTAGCCAGCCGAAGAAGGTTGTGCCATATCTGGATATGTTAGTGTTGTATTGCAGATGGATATCCTTGGTCTGCGCTTCGTACTTACAGGACGGCTACCATGTTTGTTCCGATATCGTAGGTGCGTATCACGTAGGGAATGATCGATCCTAGACTTCCATCGTTGACCCCCGCGACGAAGAAGGACAACCCCGCGCTGAGGATTTTGGCATACATCCATTTTGGTTCGGGGGATCTTGAGTCTTGGAATGTTTCATTCTCGGCTGGGATTGTTTCGGTGGAAGCTCTTGTCTGTAGCACGATTGTCTCTATTTGCGTCTGGGTGCTCATGGTGGAACTGATAATCTGGTGCCTTGCGAAAGACCGGAAGATGAAATTTCACCTTTGAAGGAAACAAGAAACGACAACCCCGGATTCCGCCGTCTCAAGACCTGCCAGGCCATTAGACCGCCCACTAGCGTCCCCCACACCCCACAACTCCAAGGCCCGCAAAATCGTGGGATTCAGATCTCAAGACGCCTGATGACTCAAGACCGTTAGAAATCGACTGGGACAATCTATGTGTTGCTCTTCACTGTAGCAGAGAGGAGTATATATAAACTACTACTCCCCCGATCTCTACCCACGAGAAAAGGAAAGGTAGCTGACCGAAGAAAAATGGAATCGAACTGGCTGACTGCACGCAATAACCACACATACGAAAATGGACGCCGCTATTATGGCTTCAAGCCCGAATTCCCCTTTCCAGACGACGAAAACGCTACCACAGCACACGCGATGATCAGCACCATCTGGCATCTTCTAGACGGCAGAACCTTTATTGCCCCCCTAGATCCGGCCAAGAAAAACCATAAGTTTCTCGAGTTCGCTACCCGTAGCGGCTCCTGGACGATCATGGCGCTGGACCAGCATCGTCCTGCCCCGCGCTTAACGGGTATGGACCTGACCGATATGTCTCCAAATCTCCCGTATCTTGAACGCCACGAGCTTGAGGGCGATTGGCCGTTCACTACAAAACAGGCGTTTCATCTGATTCATGCGCAGTCGCTAGGCGGGATGATTACCGACTATGATAGGTCCTACGCTAACGCGTTCCGGCATCTTCTCCCCGGGGGGTGGTTAGAAGTGTGGGAGAATGACTTGCACTTCTTTACCGATAACGCACAGGATGAAGCCCGGCTAGTGGCACTAAGGGAGTGGGAGGCGCTGATACACGAGGCGGCGACCAAGTTTGACAAGCGAATCAACGTAGCAGTCGAGCAGAAGGAGCTGATGCACTCAGCTGGCTTTGTGCAAGTCGATGAACAGATATTCAAGGTAGGTGAGCCTAAAATGGAACAAAAATCAAAGATAATCATTGTGCGTATTGTAGCCTAAGCGGCTGAATTTGGAGTGCCTGCAACTAGGTTCCCTTTGGCAAGTGGAGTGACGACCTAAATCTGAAAAGAATTGGGAGTTTCTATGTGTACCAGATGCAGTGCGCGCTGGAAGGATATACGCTCCGTCTATTCACCAGGACATTGGGCTGGTCAAAGGAAGACACTGATGCCCTGATTAGTCGGGTGCAGGAGGAATTACAACAAAAGGATCTGCGGCTTTATTCATATTTCTATCTTGTCATAGGGCAAAAGCCTACACAGGCCGCTCGAAAGCAATAGGGGGAGGGTGGAAGTCGGCAAAGGAGGAAGAAAAGAAATAACAATGTCATGGGGCAAGATTAGGAAATAACCTGCTCCTGTGTGTATGTAGAATGCTGTCCCAGTTATAATCAGTAGTGAAATTATGAGGCCGTATATTCTGGCCACTGCTTATGAAAGATTGGCAAGTGACAAACCGTAGGGTGCTGGGTTTCGTTATGCCCATTATCGTATACTTTAACAAGAACAGTCGGCTGCCTCTGTCGTTGAGGACGACATGATGGTAGTCTTTTTAGTAGTTTTAGGTAGATGATTCGTATGAATCTTTTATGTATGACGCTGTACCTGATATGGATGATTATATTCCATACTGTAGACTTGTCATAGATAGTTCGTCTTCAACAGCTGAATAGAGAAGCTGGTTCGAAGTAGCGTCGCGTTGCATTGACAACCACTAATTAACACCCTCGATACACCGCAAAACCCCTAAAGAATAGCGGTGGCATTCGCATGGGAACCAACTCCACCTATCAACCCGTTAGTTAGCATAGCTCATACACCCAACATAAACCCAGCCGCAAGGCCCACAAGCAAAATACATACCAGGCATATTGGCCGGAGCACTAGTCATAAAGAAAGACCACTTCCCCCTGGCCCGACATTTCTCAGCGAGCAATTCCAAATCCCACATCTCCCCTATAGGACACCCCCATAGCGCCAGCAAGCTCTGATGCAAATAGTCATGTTCAGGAACAGGCCACGACTCAAACGTCGGCGAATCGCCCGCCACGGCCGCAAAATAACAATCATGCAGCCAGTCCCGGATAGCGGACTCGCGCGAGAGTCCCGCAAAGCACAGGTCATCGTGGGAGCGTGTCGCAGCTGCATATCTCTGCTCAGGATTGAGCTCGTAGTACCGCTCCACGAAGCCGGAGCGTACGAGTAGAATGTCTCCGATGCGGATGTCGCCGCCTTCGGACTTTGGGCGTAGATCTAAGCCTTGTGAGATCGCGCATGCTTGTAGCTCTGATAGGGTGATGCTGTGTGTTGTATAGGGGTCGTAGGGCTTGTTATGTGTTTTCGCGTAGTGGTAGTAGTCAAGGAGGATTCCTCGACCGGCAATTCCGTGCATTGCCCAATGGTGGATGCTGCAGCGGAGGTTTACAGTGTCGCCTACAAAGTCACTGCTTTTGGTCTGGGTGTTGATGGATTAGTTCCGGGAGATGGAAAATCGAGTTCGGTGCATACCCCATTGTAGAAGCACTTGCTGTCAATGTGGGCGAACTATGGACGTATTAGACCAAGGTTTCGTTTGGTGGTTATAATCACTTACATGCCGGAACCCATCCCACTGCGTCCCGCTCTGGGTGTTCATGATATAAGTATCATCATAGGCAATGCCATCAACAAGCGTTTTGATATTATGCTGCAAGACCTCGCGGTCAAAAGCCGGCTTCTCGGGTACTGTGAGAGGAAGGCTTGATATTCATACCTGTAAGCGGAGTTCAATCTTATAGTTCACTCGACTTACTCCAGTCGCACCATCTCTCCAGTATCAATCTCAGCAGCAGATGCCTTGACCCGCTGCGGCGTCAGGAGATTTAATCTGCCCACCTATACATCTGATGGATCAGCGACATAAAATAGAACATATCGACATAAATGACAGTATCCACCTCATCATCATTGCCCCAGACCCAAGCGGCGCCATCAGGTGCATCTGGAAGCTTTGGAAGATCTTTCCGCGAAGGGAACTTGGTACTGTTAGGATCCCAGGGTAACTTGTTGGCAACCTGAGTGGAAGACGACATGGAGTTGTCTTTGATGTAACTTGATATAACAGATAGTCTGGAAAAGACTGCGGGACGCCATGGACGATAGATATATATATTGGGTCTACAACGAAGGAACAAGAAACCCCGGCTCTGAACAGTGACTGCCTGGACAGGAAATCTACGTGTTACACACATGGCGGCGGGGCGAATCTATAATGGAAGCAAGGGACATGGGTAGAGAATGTCGGAAGGTTTCCAATTGTTCTTTGAATGGTCGAAATTGGAGCTGTCTCAGTGTGGATGGTGTACTCTTCCAAGGTTGCTCTCTGGGTTAGCAATCTATAAGAAGCGGTCAGTTCAAGGTAAGTGCGATATATGATGTATCAAGATCGGAGAAGAGAGCTCACAACCAGGATATGTATAAATATGTACAAAATGAGAGAGATATGACAAATTCTGGTGCTCACAGACGTGTGGAAATGTTGATGTATACAACTTACTACCGGATTAAGCTACTTTCTGGGGTCTCAGGCCTCGATGAGATGCGGATTAAACCGCTTTAGAATAGATACACAAGGAAGAAACAGATTGGAAGGCCATTCGGCCTCGTTTTTTGCCTTTTCATTTAGGTCATTGGGGAAATTTCCTCCCAGATGATTTACAAAAAAAAAACGATCTCTGCTCCATGCGGGCGAGCACGAGATATCATGGTGCATTCGCCACTTTCTGCACAGTGAAAACATGAGAGAAGATTCGACCGGATCCAGGAATTTCAGAAGACGCCGCAGAAAGGGTATGCGTGGCAGATGGAAAAAAAAAAAAAAAAAAAAAAAAAAAAAAAAAAAAAAAAAAAAAAAAAAAAAAAAAAAAAACCCAAAAAATTAGTTTGAAGGAAAAAAATCCCAACACAAAAAACCCCCCCCCCCAAAAA